CAGGAGTAAAATCAGTTAACAGTAGGTACATGTATGTAGAATGAATACTATTGGGACACAGAATTTCTGCATTTTTTGGCAAAGTTCTCATACGTTTCCTGACATGAACTTGTAGCTTATATTCTGACTGGACAGTGTTACAATTAAGCTTGTATTTAGCCATTAGCTGTGGCTGAATTGTTTTTTGCCCTTGCTATTACTGGTAGCCTGGCAATCCTTGTTTTTCTTCTTATATGTGTATGACCAACCTTAGTTTAGGTGCCTTTACATATGCGAGCGGACTAGAAATACGGGCAGTCTGATGTTCTTTATTTCCCTTCGTTGTCACTGTCTTAGGATAAATGATGTGTCTGTAGTCTGATCTGTGAATAAACTGTTTCCTGTATGAAATACATTTTGAAAACGTAGTTCCTCCTTACTTCCTTTCCCTCCCCTGCTGTACCTCTCAGCAACTTTTAGTCAGTTCCATAGACATGTTCCAGCAAATGCCAGAGCTCTTCACGAAGGACTATAAATCGCGCGCATAATCCCTATAGTAGATTAGCGCTCAGGTTAGCTGAGTGAATTTGCAATGTTATGGTTACAAGGGATTTAAGGGCATTACCTTTCCTGTGCAAAGAGTATAGAAAAGTTCTTCAGGGATTTTCCTATATAGCTCTGGCAGCTAAAAGACAGATTGTAGAATATGCTTTTAAAAGCAGAAGTAAAGATTTATGCTTTTTGATACATTTTTCTCAATGGGCAGGCATGTTATATAGAGATTAAACTAGAAAGAAATATGTTTTAAAAATATACTTATAGCAGTCTTATCCAAGGATATTTTTTCACTCGTTGGTAAATTTGTTGGTGTGCCTGTTCCTATACTCATGTTGAAGAAGTTGCCAAATTACAGCAGCTTCCTAGGATGCAAATGGAAGAACGCATCTGAATTTTTTTCAGCTATGGAGAAAAATGGCAGCTATGGTTTCTGCCCCCAGATCTGAAGAAAACTTGCTAGTGGTCTACAGATATCTTGTGCTTCCCCAGCATCCTGTTCCCTTCTTTTACCTGGGGAGTAAAGAACCTTTGCCTAAACACATCCCTGATCTTCCTCAGTGCTAATGGTGGTTGTTCTTTTTACTGCCTTGGTGCTCTCCCATCGTGATGGGTAGTAGAGTTGGTTTGTTGGATCTGCCTGGGATGAAAGATTGTCTGAACCGGTGGGGATGTGTCTGTGGGACAATCTTTCTATAGAATAGTGGTCCTTACTAGGTGATGGTGAGGCTTCCATCTTCCAGATAAACAGACTTCATCTGTATTACTGTGCATTCACGCCTAGCTGCAAAAGAAAAGGGGTTGACAATTTTTTGGAAGCCATTTATGGATTTATAGATTCTGGTAGAGTAAGTCCAGACAAGGTGGACTTGCAGAAGGAGTGGCTGATGGACAATGAAATAAGCACGATTAACTGTTTTGTTTTGATCAGTTCGTTTCCTTATGTGTTGAGTATATTCTGTTTATGAAGCCTAAAGTTTATATGTTCACTGGTTTGAGTGGATGCTTTCTATTATTTACAGTAGTGTATAATTATAGACAGACTCAGACAAATGTAGCAATGTAGTAGAGTCTATTTTTAGGCTCAGACAGTTGTGATTATGACCTAACGTGCCAGCACTTAGCCAAGCTATGAGCAAGAAAATCTTATGGGGGAAACAATGCTACCTACCTCATGCCTAGCATGGTATGAGAGAAGGATCATCTGTACCAGGACAAAGTGTTTTGCTGTTTGGCTTCCTCTGTCCACTTAGCTTCCTCTGTTCTAGACAGACAGGATGAGTTAGTGAGGTAGAGCACACAGTTGTTGGACTGGAACAAATTGTTTGTTTTCCATTGTTTGTAATCATGCGTAACATATGTTTTTTCTTTTCATTTTGTTTTTTAGTGGGATTTTCCATTTATACTCCACTGAGAACCAGTTGTTCACTGTTGCAAGCGCTGCCTTCTTAGTGAAATTTGTGCTCTACACAGGATAGTCCTAGGGACCAGTCATGTACCCTTTTGCTCAAAATAGACAGTCCATACCTATACAAGTAGCTCCACTGACCATATGGCAAGCTAACCACATCTATATTCCTCCTCTCCCACAGGACTCTCACTGGAATAAAACAGAGTGAAACGTACTCACACAAGAAAACATACCCGCTGCTGGGCCCGTTACTCCTTTGGAAGTTTGTAGCATCTGAAAAGGAGCAAGCAAAGCTCAAACAAATGCTGTGCTCAGAGTTAGTTTACAATAAGGACATATATTCAAAACAAAACATTCCCATGCTAAAGATATTCAGCTGCTAAGCTGAGATGCTTAATGTTTTCTGAGGTACTACGTCTGAATCTTCAGCTTATCTCCATTATAACTTATGTAGCGATAAACTTAACGTCTGCTCTAATACTTTACCTCCCTTGCCTCTGCGTTGCCTCTAGCAGCATGTTTTGTACCCTACATTGCATTTTTTTGTATTAAGTGTATCTTTCAGTGTCTCAAGGCAAGGATGTGATTTTTTTTTTTTTGTTAGAGGTCAATTTCAAGTGCAGGAAAGAATGATTATGATAACAGGAGGAAACAGGAAGAATCATGCTTTCTTTTTCAATCTGTTTTTTATTATTGCTTTAATGTAAAACATTGTTTCAATTAAATGCTGACCTGTGCAATGGTGTGTGCGTGCACATGCTGAAATGAATTCAGGCTTTGTTTGGAAAGTTGTGACCTCTTTATTCCTGTTCTGGATCAAGGCTGCTGCGTTTCCAACCCACTACCGGTGACTGAGATTTCACTCATATACTCCTAGTAGCACTAGCAGTAACAATCTTTAAGAATGGTGTTCCCTTTGGGCATTTTTATGTGGTGTTCTCTCTCTCAATTTTTTAAATTAAACTTGTTCCTTTTAAGAATGCCTCATGTAATGGAGGAAAAAAAAAAAAAAAGATAGCCATGATGCAATTAGAATACATCAAATAGGCTTTGTGCTAAACTAGTACCTGACGGGAGAAATACGTATATAAATGAGGAACAGAGATTTCTCTCAGCTACTCGCTTTCACTGTGACTCAGCTTAAAGCAGTGTTATTTATTCTTTCATTTTTTAAAAATGAGAGTGCCATATGAATTGACTTCACCAAAAAGAAAATGTGGGACTTAACCTCCAGTGTCCCCCCCCCCCAAGTGTTTACTGCTATGATGCTAGAAAAAACATGCCCAGTTTGTTATTTGCTTGGATGTAAATGTTAAATATGTGGGGATGGATCAGTGTCTTCTTGCTTAAGCTTTTTATTTTGTGTAAAATGAACTATTTTGGAGGAAGGGAAAAAGAGGAAGGGGGGGAGGAAGAATGATGAAAATTGTCTGGGATGTTAAAATGAGTCAGTTATATATTATATTTGTCCTCTAGTGAATAGATTTTCATTTTTCTCCTTGGCTTCATGGAATGTTTTTATTTATATATCTTATTAGTTCTGGATGTTCCGCACAGGGGGAAACCTGAATTACAAACCTTTTTTTCATTATTGTATTAAGAGCCTGAGTATTGAATGCAGGTGCTCGGACCCTGTCGTAATTGGCAGTTTGTGGAGAGACACCAGCTGTACTGGTTCGCTGGGGAGATATTGTATCTCGTCACACGTTGTATGTATTGTAGGAACTGCCCAATTCCTGTCATTGTCAGAAGCTTTGTATGTCTGCATCTACAAGTGCCTCTATAGAAAAAAAAGACAGTAAATCACTGGAAGTTAACACCATGTCTGTTTTCATTGCGCTTTCGTGTAGCGCTAATTGATGTTCTGTTTGGTTAAGTATAGAAAGCATTTAATAAATATTTGTCTTTTAATGTTCATGCATGACGAACTGGCATCATAGTAACTGGCTTATTTTTTCTAAAACATGACAGGTTATATTACATATCTACAAACGTGTGTGGTATCCGAACATGCGTATGTATAGGATATGTATAGAGTATAGGATTATACTCATCATGTATTAATATCCAAAATCACATATTTAAGTTTCAGTTCATAGAACAAGGTTGGAAGTGCGAGAAATAGAACTCCAGGTTATGTTAGACCTTAAAAGGCATAATGATATAGTGGGAAAACCATGATGCTTCTGGGCATCTTAGATGATTGGGACTGCAGTTCCTTTTTTTGTGGAAGGCATGGGAACTTACAGATGGCAGTTTAGTCCTGCCAGAACAGTACTGATATATTAAAATGTGAGTGGGTAGGACTTCTGAAGCTTTTGAAGGATTGACTTATAGAGGGAAGCTAGGAATTAGTATTAAAATTTATAGATATTGTACATGAGTGATTTTGCCCAACAAAAGAGAAAGCAGAAAGTCTGCTTGTGTACATTTTAAAAGTGTGATCACTGAAAGGGAAGAAGAGCTGTTCACAGTGTTGCAAAAGGATATAAAAAACAGGGAATGTTTGTTGCATATCAAGAAAAATATTAGTATCTGGCATCTCACTGGAGAGCAAAGTAGTGCCCCAGTGAAAGTAACAGGAATCTCATCGGTTGCATCATTGTAAGAGCAAATTTGAAAACACAGTCCTGATGATAGCGGAAAGGACAAGCTTGCAAATGTCTTACATGAATTGATATAACGCCTGCTTCAAATATTTTTTTTATCCCTCTTCCCTTCTTATGATTTAAAAGTACGTTTAGATCACTTTATAGATGTATGCTGTATTTCTCCTATTTGCCTCATTTCAGAGACTACAGGGCTAAGGAGGTTTCTTGCTGTATTTTGGAGCTGATTCAGTTTATATTCTGTCTGGGGTCATAAAATTCCCTTTTTCTTGCTCTCTCCTCAGAAATATCTTGTATGTTCTTTGACGTAATTAGGGCCTGACATTGAAAGACTCTTTTGAATGTAATTTCCTTTCCAGCACGGCAATGTGCTTATATTTTGTACACTGGGTGTTTTTGGGAAACAGGATGAAGTCTACATGTTTTTATGTTTTTTGTTTTAATAGGTTTGCATGCGCTGCGGAGAGCACTGGGAAAAAGAGCTAATCTACTAGACAGCGAGGTGGCTGGGTCGGTGATGATTGCTTTCAATGACTTCCTGCAGGGGATGAATGATGTCAGGCCCAGCGCCATGAGGGAGGTGGCAGTTGATGTGCCAAAAGTAAGTTGTTTTCTGCAGTACACTAGCAACACTGTTAGAGCCACAGTAAGAGTTGCAGTTGGTCATTGAAGCACCCTACCAAAAAAGTTTCCCTTTGTAAAGCGGAAGACTCAAGCTGCCAAGAAACATTATGCATCATCTTTTTTGCTTACATACTACTTTGTTTATAATTCTGAAGACCCAGTTACAAAAACTTAAGTTCTTAATGCTTTAAAAAGAGTTGGTAGTGCAGAAGCATATCTCCTAGTCTGTAGTTGTAGGTGTTGAGAGGGTTAATAGAAATAAAAAGCTTAAGATGGTTGCTCAAGGCAGAACCTGAGTAGCTGTTTAAGAAGGAGCCTTTGGTAAAGCAGACATGTATTCAAGTAGAAACCAAATGTTAGCATTTTTAATGAAAGTCTATTGCAACAAAGTTGTGAAGAGACTGACTGGTATGATTTTATGTAAAGCATGCAGTTCATACTGCTGTGACCTGAATGTCTTCAGTAAGATTACATTACAGTTCTGAGAGCAGAATTAGATACTGTAGGCAGGCTATCACTGCTGAGCAGTGATCACGTCAGTGACTGTCCTTAGATGAGCAATTCCTTTGGCAGTGCCAGCCTCAGTCAGTCTTTACCCTGCTTACCACCCTCTCAGTTATGTATTACAGTAGTTCATGCAGACACAACAACATAAAAAGGACTGGGGAACTGATCTGGTTTAAGAAAAGTTGGCAAAAGAAAATGTATTTAATCTTAGTTAATCTTCACTCTGCAAGCAGATGTGCCAACTCCCCAACCTCTCTAACCCCTAGAAGAAAGCATTTGCATCTCATTGCATGAAGACAAGTCATCTGGGAATTAGCTTGCACAATGATAAACCCTTATTCCCAAACTATAGCAATGAGAAATAAAGCCTGTGAACAGGATGCTGCATACAGTCATCTCAGATATCACACTTGGCTTGTTAAAAGTTTACACTGTGCAGTGAAGTGCTGAGTGGAAATACCTGGATTGGCTCCCAGACAGCTTTTCCTGGAAATGGTGTAGTGGCATCAGTATCCACCAAGGCTAATTAGTTGTGCTGAGAATCAGAATTACTAATACTCTTGTTGCTTATTGTGCTACTGGTTCTTGGACTCCTGCCATTATCACTGTGCTGTGCCTTTTAGACATACTGGATGCACCAGGCTGTTTGGAGTTAGATGGAGTGCTGCTAAATAGTGTAGTATAGATATGTATAATTTACTTGCTCAAGATCCTGCAGGAAATCTGTGATAGGGAATTGAATCCAGGCCTACCTGCTATTCAGGCTAGTGTGGTCCACTAAACCTTCCTGCCAGTAGCATCCTCATGTGTCGCTTGTTTTTATTTTTTAAACATCAGCTACATCACTGGAATACTACTTAAATTCATTCCTTTATTAAAGGGAAGGTAACAAGGGCATAGTGCAGTTTCCTTTTATGCCAGCAGGACCTGCATTTTTACAAAATAATGCATATCCCGTGAAGATATCGAACGAATTTCAGGCCAACTGCTTGTTGCCTGTGGTGAGTTTAAAGTGGACTCTAAGCATGGGATCCAACCGATTTATTCTAAAAGCTTGCCCTCCCATACCGCCAAGGGGGTGCTGAAGCTCAATTTAACCATTATTCTTGGCTACAGAACTGCCTGACTCCAGAAACTAAGGCACCTCTGCACGTTCAGAAGCAGCCTGAATATCTACTAACACTTGGCACAGCTGTCTGTGAAAGTCAAAGCAGTGTAAGGACTCCAGTGTTGTAACCCACTAAAGCTAATTACTCCATTGCCATTTATATTTGAGGTGAGAAGATGCCTTAAGTCAGCTCAAGTCCATGGGATCTTGGTAGGAGCTTGGTATTGCTGAGGCTGCAGCTGGGTAGCTGGGGTGGCAATGCTGAGAAGGCAAGCAAAAGAGATCCAGACCGCAGCCCCCTGCTTAAGGCTGCATGCTGGAGGCTTGGGATGTGATACGGGAATGCTTGTAAACATCTGAAACTTGTTCATATACTTTAGCGTGGTTTGGCCATTTAAAAAAAAAAATTGGCTATTATGTGGTCTATAGACATGCACAGGCAAAAAGGACTAAAAAAAAAAATCCATTTATGATTGTTGTTATTAAACCTCGATTAGAATAGTTTGGTCTTTATTAGCAAATAAGTATATCTTATTTTCACATTTGTTATTGTCTGAGTGCCAGTCCTTAGCATTTAATGTACTGTTATCCAGAGAATTTACACAGTTGATTCATTGTTTGGAACGTGGGTTGTAGCAGAAAATGTAATGCAGTTTCTTATTCCTTGGATACTTTATTAAATAAGGGTATGCAACGTTTTATGTTGCGTGCTTCTAATACTGTTTTTTAGCTATGTCTTAGTCTAATTTTACAGATTGAGTTTTGCTTCTCTGGTTAAAGTTGCATGTTTAATTGCTGTGGTTAAAGCTGCGTGCTCGATTGATTGCGCTAGCGTTTGCAGTTAATTGGATGGTGAAGTACTTGGTTTGACTAGAAACCTGGTGTCTAAGAAGCCAAATGAATGCAATCGCTGTGCAAGTAATTTGCCCTGTCATCTTGTGTCAGTGATACTGTCTCCTAGAACACTTTGATAATGTTACACATGAATACCTACTTCTGCAACACCTGCTGGGAAACCTTTAAAATTACTTGCTTGTCACAGAACTGGTACTAATATTAGTTGCAATTTCTGTAATAAGTTATTTCTCTTTACTGCTTTTCCCGTCTTTCAGTAGTGCTTATGGTTCATGGACTTGAGCCACTTTTCCATTCAACGCTTTATTAGTTGGCTGTTGGCCATGGTGTACTGTGATATGTTACTTATGTGCTCTGCAGTAATTTACACCAACAAAACTGCCTTACTTACAGCATTTGTTGCATTTTTATTAAAATACAAAAGTGATGGCTGAGGAAAAAAAGAAAAAGAGCACTAACCAGACAGGTTGCCTGAGGAAAGCTGGATTTCTCAAACTTAGTTCTTGATTTTTTTTTTTTTTTTCCTAGCTAATGTGTCTGCATGCCCATTAGTTTGTATAATTGTCTTGTATTGGTTAATCTGCAGATACTGTCTGTCTGTAAGCATAGACTTTTCCCTGCCTGCTCCCTCTGCCCCAGAAGCTATCCAACTGGACGGGTAATTGCCACTATAACGCTGTTTGTCATCTGAAAAACCTGTACTAAAAATAACTTTAAGCATGAAATGAATGATCAGCTAAGGGAATTTTTCCAAATAGAAGACAAAAGGCTGGACTACATTAATAATACCATCTTTTTGCTGTTTATTGCAGATACATTATTCAATTGGCAGCCCACTTAATGTGGATGCAACTTCTGGGCTATGCAGTTGATCATAAATGTATAGGCTGAATTAAGCCGAGACTTATGTGATTTTTAACTTCGTGTTTTTCAGACGGTGGGTTTTTTTCGTACTTCACTGTTTTGAAGTTGCCGTGTATAAACTGAATGCAAACAAAGTAACTTACAAATAAAGCTACAAGTAGAGGAATTTTTTTGCAGTGCTCCTTCCCTTATTATCTTGACACCTTTGTCATTTACAATTTTTTGAGGCTGGTGCTGCCTCCTGTCAGTGAAGGAAAATAATTTTCTGTTGTATCATGAAGTCTAGATTGTTTAGTCAATACAGAGATTGCTCTCTGAAATCTGCAGAATTTTGAGTAGGCTGTAAAGAAACTTAGTGTTTGTCTTCACTTTTTAGATCTTAGATTTTAGAGCTAGCTGCCTGTCAGTTTAGGAGGCTAGTGAGCTCAATTGCTGTGTTGCGTTCTGTTGTCCCTTATAATTTAAAACCTGAAAAAAGTTACTCTGTTGTGCATATACTTGGTAGTAGCTAAAGCACGAGAAGAAGCTATGAGAGAAGTGAGTTGGTTGGGTGGCCTTGTACAAGTCACTTTATTTCATGGTGTCTCAGGATATTTGATAACCTTTATAGAATGCTTTGCAGTCTGCTTCTGAAAAGTGCTTTATGACAAGCTAGTTATTTTTTTTATTAACTCACTCTTTAGCTGATTTGCAGCATGTATTATGTTGTCCTATGCTTGTAAGACCCATGGCAATCACCTACATTATGTGGATAATGAAAAAAAACTGTCTCTGACATGTCTTGGGCTCTTTTCATGTTCCAAGCATATTCCAAATTATTGATGAGGAAAGGAGCCAAGATTAAGTGAGTTTGAGAGGGCAGACAGAAAGCAAGGCTGTTGGCAGGGGGAGTGAAGCTGTTGTAGGTGGAGGTGCCACGGTGTGCTTTTTGGTGTTCTACATTTCTCCATTCCTTTGTGCAGCCACTTGCGCCCTGATTGCCTTGTGCGTGGCTTGTGACCAAGGCAAATGGAAAATATGTGTCCCCTAGGCTCCCTGAAGTATCTTGTACTCCGTTTTCACAGAACCTTTCTTGAACTTTGCTATGTTTTGTAACCTTTCTAGAAGGCTGCTTTTTTGCTGCAGGGATTTAGGAGATGCACATTATAAATCAGGAAGCTAATACCGCTGTTGTTTGGAGAGTTGCACTATAGCTTCTATTCCTCCCTCTCCTATGGGTCTTTCTGAATTTTTTGTCGAGTGCTTTGGGTTTTGCTTACCCGCTTCACTCCCTTTACTGTAATTCAACACTCAGATCTGTGTCTTTGCAGCCAAAAGGTTCTGGATGAGGCATCCTCTGCATGTCTGCTTTATTTCTTTATTGCTGCTGCTTAACAGCCTCTGGAGTGTTACTGCTCTGCGTCATATTCTGAGCTCTGTTAACCTGGGGAGAGCTAAAGATTATGGCTGTAATGAAATCTTGGTGTCTTATATACCGTAGCAGAGCACTGTCTTTGCATCTGTAAGCTCAGCCCTCAGGCTAGTCTTTTAAGCCATTTCCACAGTGACAGAATATCACACTTCATTGCATATATTGCAAGGCCTTTCCTTTCTGTTCATGTGCGAGTAAAGATGTGCAGCTTTTTCTTATATTTGGGCTATGGTTTGTGTTAATCACAGTCAGGAAGTTACTGAGGTATGCAAAAACAATCTGCTGAGTTCTTCCAAACACACATTGGCTTATATAAATCTGAACAAATTCTTACTTTTGAGTGTTTTACTGTTTGTGGGCTGATTTTTCCACTTAGCTGTATACGTCTAAAAGGAGAAAACAAGTATTTTGTTTAGATCTTGACCAGAAAGTGAACACAGTGGTTTATTTACTTTTTTTACTCTTAATACCATTGCTGCTTGGATTCCATTTGCTTCATGATAATTAAAAATTTGCAAATGAGTTTCAGTATTCTGAAAAATAAAGCAGGAGGGAAGGATACTTTTACCTTTAGGCACTTAACTGAGATGCCTAACTTAGACATCTCATCCCTGCATGTTCCCTCTAAAGGAAAGAGGGAGAAACTTGTTGAGAAACCATCTGTCCAGCTGCTGAAAGAGAGTTCAGATCTTAGTTGAATTGCCGTGTGATGGTGTGTCTCTATCTCTTTTGACTGTGTTGCGAGCCAAAAATACCTAGCTCAAAGTTAGATGGTAAGAATTCATCCTCCCGTTTCCCTCTTCCCTTCTAGAGTGTTGTGAAGTTTCTCACTGAGCTGTTTTGCTGAATTCAGACAAACGGTTCAGTTTCAAAACTAGAGACATACGCTCAGCCCTTTTTATCTATGTGCTACCATTCCTTTAATCTGGTTTGTTCAGATTCATGCTCGAATCATGGAACAGAAAAGTTTTTTTTCATGCTACTACTTTGAAATAGTGCTTCAGAAAGGTGTATTGGCAGGTTGCAGAAGTTACCAGAACTGGTAATGCTAATTTGGTAATGTCTCTGCTAAAACCTTTCCTCCTTCTACTGTTGGATTCCTCTGCTGCGTCTGATTCAGGCCTCTCTTTGCTCTGACCTTTACTGAATTTGTGTTCCTCTTCTACTTTTTTTTTTTTTCTTCCCTGTAAAGGAATTCTGCCTTTGGCAGATCCCTCTGCCCTCAGAGCCTTCTTAGTAGGCAGTGACTATCATCTCTACATATTTTGTACTTCCTCAGGCTTATAAAGTAATTATTTATTTAAGAAGCAGAAGCTGTTGGTCACTAAGAAAAATAAAAAGATTTTTTTCTAGAATTCCTGTAACACATTCTTAATGTGAGAGACAACGTGTACTGCTGGCAGCAGATCAGCAACTCCTCACCTTCCAATTAGCCTTTAAACTCTAACACTTAGGAGTGGTTGACCCATGTGTGTTCATCTTTTGTGTTTACTCTCTGTTATCTTTGTAATTTTCTTCTATGTCAAGGACTGACAATTGATGAGAGCTTTTATTTGGTTTACGATTTGCTTGTACTGAGCACCACTTACAAATTTTCTTCCTCTTCAATAATAGTCTGAATTGCCTCATTCAAGAACTTTTTCCTTTTAGTTTCCAGTCAGTGTTCTGATATGAGGGAAATAGAAATGGGAAGAGCCAGGAGAGACAACGATTTTCAAAGCCAGGAGTAAAGCTGATATGTTAGATCTTGGTAATGTTCTGCTTGTGTTTCAAATCTATCTGACTTTCCAGAGC